GACTCGCTGGTTCGTGCGAGGTGCTTCTAGGACTGGAAGGCGTTCACATGGTCATTTGGATCGAAAGACCCATCATACTTGTCTAGAGGGGGAGTTTGAAATCCTTTGGCATGGGGACAACAAGGAGTTTTGGAGATAGCGGGGAAGAAACCGAGAGGAGGGGGGTAGCTTTCACTTTAGCTGAGCATACCACCTCTTTTCCTTTGATCTCGGGAGAGGCTCTGGAACCAATTCGGTGTTGGTGCTCGACGCTTCGGTGTTGCCAAGCTCAATAGGCTTGGACTGCTGGTGACGACTTTGGACCGAAGGGCCCTGTTTGTAGCCCGCTGCCAGGACCTCGAATGGGTTGTCCGCTAACGGGAGCTCGAACTGCGAAGGTTGTGGTGACACAGGCTTTGTTGGGTGAGAGGCCCCTGATCTGCCCACAGGCTGCGAGGCGGGTGTCGAGGGGGTAGCCGGCCTCTCCTTCTTGCTACGGGAAGAGGTGTGGCTCTTGGCTGGATCCTAGACCTGGGAAGCTTCTCCCCTACGAGGCCGCTCACTCCGGCGGATTGGCTTGGTGCAACACTTGTTGTTGGTACTAGTACTGGGAAACCTGGTGCAACACTTGTTGTTGGTACTATTCCATTTGAGCCAGCATGGCCCGCATGCATTGCACCAAGTCCTCCAGTTGGTTCGGGTTGGCCGTTGGGGGCACAACTGAGGGTTCAGCAAAGGTTGCTCCTACTGTAGAAGGGAGCGGGGCAACGACGGGTGCCACTACAAGAGGCACATTCAAACTGGGGACTCCGTCCATGGTAAGGGGGACGGTAAATTGTCCAATGCAGAAAGTAGGAAGCTGGGCTACTCCCCATAAGCGTTATGGCTGTCGTCACGTCCGGCATTGCTGGAAGAAGCCATGAAGAATGCTAAGTTTTTGGAAGAAGGTGCTATAAAAGCTTGGAGGAAGGCTTTTAGAAGCGTTCCCACAGACGACGCCAAATGATGCGGCACGATCCGGGCACTCCTAGCTGGCTACTGACTGGCTCCTTGTTGGCAATGAACGACACCTGAGAAGATGAAGAAGAAAGATTCCGGGGACTTGCCCGGCGGGAATACTCCGAAACTTAAGTTAGAACGCTAGGGAGGAAGAAGATAAAGTATAAAAGGCTAAGAGTGTAGATCGCGCTGGATCACTTTGTCTCGAGATTAACTCGTGAGCAAGTTCATATCTAATTCGAGAGAGCGAGAGAGAGTCCCTGTCTCTCCGCTTAAAGGGCTTTTATAGGGGCGTTCTTGTCAAATCATGCGGTAACCGCCACTGGGCTCCTGTCGCAGTCGTTACTTGCCAGGGCTGCGCAGGCGATCGTTACAATGTACTACCCGCTTGGCTGAGTGACACGTCTTCAAAGGGACAGGCACGCCACCATCTGTCGAGAGACGTGGGGTAGACTGTCAATCGGGCAGGGACTGCGCCGTCAGTCGAGAGACGTGGCGCAGCTTGACGAGTACGGTCTTGTCAAATGGAAGTTTCCTGAGAGCGTCGCATCACAGTCGCAAGTTACTTCGTAGCGGGCTATCTTTGCCGCGAGCTACTTTGTAGCAAGCTCTTAGGGGTACTTCGGGGTAACCCTTATCAAGGTTAGTCTTTGGGGCAATTCTTCTACCCAGGTGCTAGAGCGAGCTGGTTTCCCTAGCTCGCGAGCTGAAATAATCTTGGAGTATTCCCTTCTCGGTAGCTCGGGGGATCTGTAGCTCGCCTTGCAGCGAGCTCCCCCTATAGAGAACTAAGACGTAGCGAGCTATTCTACAGACTTGTTACTTGGTTGCGGTCAATCTAGGCTGCTGAGCTGTTGCTTGTGCTGAGTCAGGTCCACGTATCATCATCTCAGTAGGTCGGGTCAAATCATCCTCCATCAAGAATCATAAATTTTCATTTTAATTTCTTTTATTGAACTGTTCCGGGAATGTAAATTTGTGGTGAGAAGAATTGATCAATAGCTTATTTCATAAATCTTCTTCCTCTGGTTTTTACGTTTTTGAGTTCAGAGACCGAAGATTAAGAACACTGGGTTGCAATGAAGCAAAATTTCTCCTAGAGTAAAGAGATATTGATTTCTGGTACGATTCTAGCTTTTAAAAACTACTAAAAACAAAAACTTGTCTGTTTCACATTAAAAGAGGAGGGCGTTTGGTAAAAAAGTGGAGAAGAAGTGTTTCTTTAAAAAAGTGATTTCAAGTTTGTTTTTTAAGTACTTCTTAAAAAGTATTTTTCCAAAAAATAGGACAAACCAATCATTGATAAATTTCTATAATGCCTAAAGTACCCCTATGCCCAAAAAGCATTGTTCATCATCTTCCTTCCGCCCCTCTCTTCCTTGATCTGTCCCTTCATCCACCTCACCTCCTTGCCGACCAACTCTGCCATTGGAGACCTTTCTTCTTTCTTTTCTTCTAGTCACCAAATATTGGCCCCTTCTTCGTAAGTTCCTCTCCCGATCTCTCCCCTATTTCTCTCTTTCGCCAAATCAAGATTTTGGTGAACTATAACTGCTCCCAATGACAATTAATGGTGGAAATGTAGCGGTGAAAGATGAAGCTGGAAGTACTGGGGAGGCTCAAAGCTATAGAACAAGCCAGAACAACCCTTCAAAGCATCCATGATGCTCTGGTAGTCAAACAGATCGGCGTGTAAGACTTTCAGAATCTTGCTATTGTCAGAAGAAATTCTCTTGAATGCTTGCAATTGCAAATCACATGAAACAAACAATCCATGCAACAGATGATGAGAATTACAGACATAAGAGTGATGAGTGTAAAGCAGAAGATGAAGAAAGAAAGAAATTAACCATGGTTCTGGATAGCGGTGTGAACAGTGTAGCCCCTTTGAAGGAGACGATCCACAAGGATGGAGCCTAAGTGGCTAGAAGTGTCCATGATGCAAATAGTCTTCAATGTATCGTAATCAGGGAAGGAAGCCGCTACTGGTGCCATTTGTTTATGTGTCTGAAACTCAAAGAGAAAGGAAGAGAGTGACAGAGGATTTTCAGTATTGTTCGTTTCTTTGGAAGCAATGAGGTAGATGTGTGTGCATGTCTATGACTATGTATTTAAAGAGGGAAGAGGAAGAGAGGGGGCTACTAGCATTCAAAGAGTGTGGCAAGTAAATGGTTGGAAGGTGGTTGTTGAGAAAAATAGGATGAAATGAGACATAGAGGAGGGGGGAAGGTTGTAGAAAGCAAAATGTAGCGGCAATTATTATTACTATTATTGTTGTTGCTGTTGTTAATAGTAGTTATTATTATTATTATTGTTGTTATTGTTATTATGATTATGATTATTTATTGTTATTATTATTTGGATCCACATGGCAGCCAACGTAGGGGTCCATGTGGGATGCAATTGAAATGTATATTATAATATATGAAAACCATTGTGATATATGTATGAGTGAAGTGAGGGCTAAAATTGTCATTGGTGTTTAATATAAGCACTTATGGGAAAAGTAACTTACCAAGCATTCCCGCCCCAATAAGTGCTTAAAAACATAATAAGTGGTTTAAAAAATGGGTTACCAAATAGACTTAAGTGGTTGTTAAAATAAATACTTTTAATACGTACTTAATCATCAAACAGGGCCCTAGTCTCATAATGAGTGTCAGATGTAGGAGCACAAATAACATTTAACGTTGAACGCGAAGAATATATCTCAATACATTCACATTAAGTTACAAAAGAATTCATCACCTGCCAACAAAATACATTCCAACACCCTATCAACACGATCTGATAGTGGGTTCCAATTTCATATATATATATATATATAGTGGGTTCCAACAAAATACATTCCGACACCACACTTCATGTATATAGTGGGTTCCAATCTCATAGTGAGATATGCAGTGTCAGATATTACTAGTAGGTTGTTGAAACATATTTTATTGGCAGGCGATCCCAATCTCATAGTTATTGGGAGGTGATCTCAATTTGCTGTAGTTTTGAGTTTTGTGGGTTTGATCTTCCTCCATGGTAATTGACCAATGATCATCTCGACCAGTAGGTTGTCCGCTTGTGAACTTAAACATAAAAAAAGGTTTTATGAATTCACAATAATTTATTAGAATAAGAGATGAACTACCTTGTTTTTGAGCTTTAGAACTTCAAATTTCAATACTCTGCTTTTGAACTTCTATGAGACTGTTTTATCTGATTAAAAGTTAAAACTAAGACTCTAATTTTTTCATTTTCCTTCCACTCTCTTTAAATATGAAAAGAAAAGGAAAAATAGATAGAAAAATAAAAAATTTGGGTTTTAGAGATACATTATACCAATGTTTTTGAACTGCTGTTGACCTGGACAGTTAGACTATTCAGCTTGAGAATCATCTAGACAATTAATTTTATTTTATCTCAAACTCGATCTCTGATAAAAAATTATTAAATTGTTAAATTGGTTAATGACCCATTAATCTAAGCAATCAAACCGTTGATCCATTTAACAATTTTTAGTTATTTTTCATTAAAATGGGCCATTCATACAAATCGAATAATTGAACCATCAACCCAAAAATGAATGGACAGAATGGTTCTAATTCCGAGCCATTTTTTAAAACATTACATTATACAATAAAAGAGAGAAGGAGATGACAAAATTATCTCGTTAAATTCAATGACCAAATAAAAATTCAAGGACGCAAGTATTAATATCCAAAGGCAAAAGCAAAACACAGAGTAGTTATCTGTATTTTACAATGAATTATTAAGCAGGTGTTATATTGCAAGTACGTTAGGGATGATTGCAAAAATACGTTAATGGCTGGAATCATAGTGGCCCGATTCCTCCACGCGCCAAAGTCCATATAAAATTTGATAAGCGTCGGAAGCTTATTTGATTTTCCTTTTTAATAGAATTAAGGTTTCTGTAGTTACGTTACCCAAGAAAACAGTATAGAAAATTAAAGAAAATGGTTAAAGGGAAAGCGGTAAGTAACAGGCCAACTCAACTGTGGCCTGCTGCCAGTCTCTCTAGGTTACTTACAGTCTGTCGTTATGTGATGATCTGTGGACTGGTCTCCCATCGTCTCAAGCATTCTCACCGCCTTCTAGAAGCTCTGCCCTTTTTTAGAACTCCACTTTTCTCCATCAATCAACCTATTATAAATGGGTTAAGAGATCTAACCACAGAGTATTCAGTGTCTTCTATCTCTCTTCCCCTCTTTCCCTGCTTTTCTGCTGAAAGCAAACTGGTTCTCTTCTGACAAATCCTGATTTTAAATGGTTCTTTCTAGTCGTCCATGATGGATCTGATTCCATGCCTTCCGGATGAGATCGCCCGTGAATGCTTAACCCGCGTTCCATACACTCACTTCTGCACTGTCTCCGCGGTTTGTAAAGGCTGGAAAGAAGAGCTTGAGTCGGTGCAGTTTCACCAACGGAGGAAGTCCGGTGGCTTGAGCCGGCCCATTGTTGTTCTCACACAAGCTGAGCCAGACCGAGCTTTAGGCGCGGTGAAGTGCGCAGCTGCACATGCTTACCGTCTTGCGCTTCTTGAGCCTGCTACAGGCGCGTGGGGTAAGCTGCCGCCGGTTCCGGGGTTTTCCGGGGGGCTGCCGTTGTTCTGTCAGTGCGCCGGGGTTGGCCGGAAGCTGGTGGTGATTGGCGGGTGGAACCCGACGACTTGGGAGGTGTCGAAAGCTGTGTTCGTTTTCGATTTCGTGTCCGGCGGATGGCGCCGTGGGGGGGACATGCCGGGGGCCTCACGATCGTTCTTTGCTTGTGCGTCGGATTCCGATCGGATGGTTTTTGTCGCCGGAGGGCATGACGAGGAGAAGAATGCACTCAAGTCCGCGATGTTGTATGACGTGGCGAAGGATGAATGGACCCCACTACCTGACATGGACAGGCAACGGGATGAGTGCAAGGGGATTTTCCACGCTGGCAGGTTCCTCGTCATAGGTGGGTATTCTACGGAGATGCAGGGACGGTTCGAGAGGAGTGCAGAGGCTTTCGATGTTGCCACGTGGCAGTGGGGCCAGGTGGAGGGGGACGTCTTGGACATCGGTTCGTGTCCGGGGACTTGCGTGGTAGGGGGTGAAGGGAAGCTGTACAGGTGTAGGGCAGGCCACATGGCGGTATCAGATGGTGTCACATGGCGGTCCGTGGCAGAATTACCAGCTGACATCCGCGTGTCACCAAATGTGGTGACATGGCAAGGCAAGCTGTTGGTGATTGGGATGGCCAAGTGTGGTGGGCCCTACGGGGCGTACGTTCTGGAGTCGCCGCATTATACATGGAGAAAAGTGAGGGTGCCGGAAGAATATTCCGGCCACGTTCAGGCGGGGTGTTGTTTGGAGATATAAAATTTTGTAAATAAACAAATAAAAAAAGCATTTTTGGTGCTTGGCTGAGATATGAATGCGATGGCATGAGTTGTTAACTTAATTTGTTTAGGCTGCGTTTGATCTTAGTGTAAAGTTTTTACCTGCAAACGATCAGTTTAAATATGGTGAACCGTTAAAGTGAGAAAGTCTTTACATTGACTAATGGTTAGGTCATTGATTTATCATGTAGAACTTACACCGAAAACAATTGTGGGGAAATTTGAATCGGATTGTAAAATTTACTCCAATTCTCATTTACACAAAAACAAACGCAGATTTAAATGGAGGCATCCTTAAAGAGTTGAAGTAAGCCCAGCTGCAGCTGAAGATGGCGTGAGTGAGTGAGCGTTTTTACATTAGAAAATGGATTATAAGTCGGCAATTGATAGGTGGAATTGATTAATCAAAAAAGAAAAGAAGGAACAGTCTTGGAAAGCAAGAAACTGTTTGTTTAATAATGTGTAATTGTGTAGTTATATGTAGATCGGATATTCTCCAAATGTAAATGAACTCATCAGCTGACAGCAATTGCATTGCACGCGTTGGTCAAAACTCAGAAGGCGTGCCATCACATTTTAGTACGAAAATTAAAACTGTGACCAAACGGGCCCTACCAAAACTCGTCCAAAGTCTAGTACAACATTATCCAGATTTCTTCTTCTTTTCTTTATTTGTTCACTGTTGATCATTCAGTCAGATACTTCTTTTTTGGTATTTTGGTGTGAAAGGCGGAATGCCTACCACTTGTATAATAATCACCCCAGAGAGCGAAGGAATAGTAAACTGGCAAAGAAATCGGCTCAGAAGAGAATGTGTTCTTTCTTTCACATCGATGTCATTTTTCGAGCAACAGCGCAGACAGGCGTCATATCAAAAAGAGCAGTGTTTTAAACAATGTCGTCTTATTTATACTGTTGCTCCAGACCACCCTCTTGGAAATCAGAAAAGTGTGGTACGAGGCAATACCAAATTCAATATTTTCTTACAAAACGATGTGTTACTGTCATTAGTGCAATAATGTATCATCATCTTAGATGTTGGATAATATAGATCAACGTTGAAAACGTTATTTTCAGCACCAATACCAAACAAAACCAGTACTGTTTTATCAGAAAATGCTTATATGATCATGGTTTTTAAAACTGAACCAGTTAGGGGTCCGTTGCCGGTTCGAACGGTCCGATCGTTCGATCCGAACAGCCAACCCATTCTGACAAGAAAATTAAAAAAAAAAAAATTTGAAAAACGGTCAAAACCGTTCAAACGGTTTGAACGATTAGCCAACCAATTCAACGGTTTGCTGACCAAAATCAATGGTTTTGAAGAAAAAAGTGATTTTTGGGAAAAACAGAACCGATTAGGTGATAGCACTAGTTCCTGGTTTTTCCAGTCTGACCGATCCGATCCATTTTTAAAAACCATGTATATGACAGCACCAGTTCCAAACAATAAATAAGCACCGCTTTATGAGAAAATGGTGCTTATAACTCTACATACCCAGCACCGATGCCAAACACTCCGAAATTATCCTGTTGGTAATTTTGGCATGGTCCATAAATGAAATCAACACTCCCCAAGCTTTTATTTTTTTATCTTCATATAAAAGTATAAAACAATATTTGCTTTATTATAAAAATCAACCAACATCGGTTTTCTTCCTTTATGGTTTGTTTGTATTGACTTTATGGCTTCTCTCCGACAGAGTCCTCTATTATAAATACTTTTTGGACCCATCAAACATGTTTTCCGACTGAAAGACAAGAAAATCTAATTTGCGACAAAGGGTATTTTTGGACCAATGGAAATTTCTAAGAATAATTCAATGACAATCTAATTCTTTTTTTTTTTGGATTGGTATGACATACTAATTCTATGTCAATGTGAATGACTTCTAAACTATGCTCTAATAACCATTCAAAGGTGGAAATGAATGTGAAGAGTTCGCATAAAGCCAAAAACTGAAAATTTCCTCAAAATATATAATATATAAATGAATATAAGTCAATAGAACCTTCAAGCATACGGTTGCAATTGATTCTTCACAAAGTTCTTGATTACAAGTTACAACCATGTAAAGTTGGAAGATGAAATGTTAGTAGCAAACAAAAAGTACTCCACACTACAAATGGAGACCATTGAGTTGGGAGACCGGATTTTGTCCTCACATAATTTTTCTTCAACCGGATTCACAACAATTGTAGCTACGGGTGTGAACGGATTGAATTTGAATCAAATCAGAAAATGTCTGAATTCAAATTTGATTAAATATTTGAATATTTGATTTGATTTGAAATTGATAAATTAATTATTTTATGTAATTAATACATATATGAAATAAATATTTTATTTATATAAAATATATTTATAGAATTTAAATATTATATATATAATTTATATTAAATGTTTAAGTATTTTATGTATTATATTCAAATTCGATCAATTATGATATTCGGTTAACTGAACCTGTGGTACCAGTTTTTGGAAAACCAATAACCGAAACCAAACTGAAGCTGATCGGTTAATGTTCAATCGGTTTGGTTCATTGGTTTTTTGATTTTCATAATATTAAATATAATAAATAATATATATATTAAATATATAAATAATATTATATATGCATTCATGTGTGTATGTGTATACCGTTAACCAAAATTTTTGGTTCAATTTCATCAGTTCGGTTTGGTTTTTTTTGATTTTTCAGTTTTCTTACTCACCCCCTACATCTTTAAACTTGCATGTATTTATCCAAGGGGAGATGTTTCCAACAAGTTTTATAACGTATTGGGATGTATTGGCCTATACGTACCATTCCGATAAGAAACTGATACACGGAACGTGTAAAAATCACGTGTTCTGTTTCTTTTCGTATGTATTGGACGATATAGTCCCATATCGGGCTGCTTCAGATTTGTATCGGTTGATGCAAGCCTGAAATGATACAAACGTAATCGTTTCCGTTCCCCTTGTTCAATTAATTTTATTAGTTTATATTTAATACCGAATTTCTCTCATTAATGTCGTTTATTGTTCCTATGTTTAAGTCTAACTTATTCATTAATTAATTATTAATTACTCATATATTTAAGAAAAATTTAAATTTAAATTTGAATTTTAGTGCCAAATTAGAATTCTCTCATTAATAATTAATGATTCTCTTTCTCATTAATCTCGTTTTGTTAGTGTAAAAACTAAAAATATTAAGAATAGCAAGGCTTGAACCCGGGTCACTAGATTTTAATGCCCACAATTATGCTACTAAACCACTTTGATTTGTTTGTTGTGATTTTATGCATTTTTTTTTGTTTTTTTCACATTTTAGTCATTTTATCATTTTTCAACGGTTACTAATTATATATCGATGTCACATTTTATATAAATATTAAATTATGGTTTTTTACATTTAAATGATTTATTTACAATCATATAAAACTTGTAAATATTGTTAATAATATATTTTTTTATGATTTATTTGAATTTACTAACATGTTTATGTGTACCTTGATTTTTCGCCTCTATCCATGCATATTCAGAATGTGTCCCGAAATATCTCTTAAAATTACCCTTCTGATACACCTTGCCTTTCCAATACTTTAAAAACACAAATTATGTGAAAATGGTGTGAGATCCAAATCCCAATTCTTGCGTATCAGGGAAAAATCTGATGAGTGGTGACCTGAGCAGAACCCGTTGTCATCAATGTCATAGCTGGCCAGAATTTGGCAAAAGAAATCTGATTTCTGAATTCCTGAATGTCATAGAGCTAGTAAGTTAAAAGGTGAATAATGGTAGATCTTATAGCAAAAGGTGAGTGGGCTACGTAAATCTTATTGCCTCCCACAACGTTTCACAGCACATCCCCACTGTATATTGGGATCATCTCCCGATGATAATACCAGAAATAATGGTGTCATCATCGGAAGATGTTCCCAATACATGGGGACGTGCTGTGGGACATTGTACGGGACTGATTTGATCTCCGAGCAAGCATGTCCACCGACGAAGATTCAGGTTCCATTGCAGCGGGAGAGAGAGGGGTAGCATTTAACGAGTGTAGCGAATGAATTGACCCAGGTTGGGGTGTTGGGAACCAGACCAGGAGTGAAACCCCATGTTCTATTTTTCAAAGCATGCCGTGGAATTTTCAAACCATGCCACAATGTCTCAACCAACCATGAACCATTTGTATACATCTCCAGCCCCACAAGATTGCCCCCCTACAACATCCCACAGCACATCCTCGCCATGTATTGGGAACATCTCCCGATGATAATCCTAAAAATGATGATGTCATCATCGGGAGATGCTCTCAATACACGGCGGAGATGTGTTGTGGGACATTGTGAGGGGCAATCTCGTGGGGGCTGATTTAAACTCCAGGTTTTCATTGTCTACTTTTCGAGTTCAAATCAACCCCCACGACATCTCATAGCACATCCCAACCGTGTATTAAAAACTTCTCCCTGTGAGTCTCATCCATTTACTATCTCTTAAAATCATTCATTGTTTTTCTCACCTAATTCAATTCAGTGCCAGGCATGTATATATTATTAATTCTCGGCCACACTTGACAATTAATTCTTGATAATAATAAATCACTTGAATAAAATGGCTGCTACTATATTATCTGCCTCTGCTTTTCCATCTTCCTCGGACAAAGTAAGAAGGCATATCCAACATTATATCGCAAACTCAACCTTCATGTCCAAGGATAACCCAAAATGAACAGGACTTGATCATGGGCATCTGCTACTGCAAAACACTAAAATTTTGGGTAAAAGACTTAAATCTCCCCTAAGATTTTCCCTAAGTACTAAAACATCCCTTCTCATTTTAAATTCTACTAAGACCTCCTTCATAGATAATCTCATCAGACAAAAACCTCCCCTAACAAGCTAATCTGTCAAGATCCATTTAAAATCTTTCAAAAACCCAGCTTTGCCCACCTGAATGAATTTGTGACTCTCTCGCCTCTAATATATTATTCCGAAAACAGCTGTAAAGAAAATGGTGAGAGTTCTGTGAAAAGTGAACAAGAAATGGTATAGATGATGGATGATAGAAAATGTCTCTCGGTTTATTTGCAAGAATCATTAGGAGTGAAAGAAAGCTCGCGTACTTGCTCGCTAAAAGAAGTTTTTTTTTTTTTTGTTTGGCCCTGCTATTTATTACAGGATAGAGATCGCCAAATCGGGTTGGATTTTGACATGTAATCACCGGGTTAAAACAGATTTGTTCCATTAATCCTCCTTACCTCTGTTCTTGCTTGCTGCATCTCTATCATTTGTTCATTTTCGGTGGACACCGGAAGTTGAGTTAAGTCGAACCTGGTGGAGATGAATAAGACAAACGATCAGACTTTAGACTGATAATGAAGGACGTTGAGTACTTGGTTACCTCTAACATGACATGGAAAGAGAGAAAACAAATAGATAATCGGAGGGTAGCTAAGAGTAGATGGAAAGCCTAGAAGGAAACATATAATACCATTAAGGGGGTGTTCTTTTTTCGGATTTTGAGAGGGGGGAAAGTTGGTCAATAGGATTTTGGTTCTAATTGACCAAGAACCCCACGTTCCTTTTTCAGATTTATGTGGGGACTAGAGAAATTTTATTTTCTTGGGTATACTCATCTCCTAGGTAGATAAATAACTTTCCCACCTAGGGGAAAGTTGCCAACACTTGAATGGACAAAAATACCCTTTTTAATTATAGATTTTTATGGCTAAAATGTTCTTTGTTTTATTTACATAAGAAATAAAAGAACATGGGTAAATGCACTTACCTGGGTAAGTGTTTCTCAAGAAAAACTTACCTAGGTAACTGCATTTACCCGGGTAAGTAATTTACCGAAAAGTGAACAAGGCCTAAGGCCCTCTTTGTTTTTCCATAAGTTATTTATCTGGGTAAATGCAATTATCTGGATAAACTTTTCTTGAGAAACACTTACTTGGATAAGTGTATTTATCCATTTTCTTTTATTTCTCAAGTAAATAAGGTAATGATCATTTTAGTCATAAAAATCTATTATTAGAAAGGGGCATTTTTATCCCATTCAAGTGTTAGCAACTTCCCCCTTAGGTGGTAAATGATACCCAAGAAAATAAACTTTCTCTATTCCCCACATAAATATGAAAAATGAACATGAGATTCTTAGTCAATGAAAATCAAAATCCCATTGACCAACTTCCTTCCTCTCAAAATCCGAAGTGTAGCAAGAGTGACCAAGAAAAAAAAATAAAAATAAAAAGGAAAACAGAAAATGCTTCAAGAACTTGATTCTTGGAAATTTTGGATATAAGCATGTGACCTTTAATAAAGCAGCAGATAAACGCAAGAGTCGCAAGACAGAGGACGGGTGCTAAAGTCAAGTAAGCGATATTTTAGAAATGGTGTATTGGATGTGAAGCATATTTGCGACCTGTTAGGTTGAATGAATAATGGAGTTGCATTTCTTTACCTGTCTAGAGTTGGACTCCATGAAAACATATCTCAAACCTTCAAGGAGAAACCTCAAGAAACTTTGTACAGGTAGCCAGCAATGATGATTAATTACTCTTAGAATGTTTTAACCTATACATGTTTATCGATGAGGTTCTAACGTAAAAATATTCTTGCTTTAATAGTAGTTCTTTTTAAAATTTTGAAAAAAAATAAAGGATAAAAAATTCCTTCCATCAATTCATTCAAATTTACCAGCCTTGTCTATTACTAATAGGAGAGGAAATAGAGAGGATTTGTTAGCATTTATGAGAAACTTCAGGAAGGTTTAAGTCTTTATCCCTAAAATATATACATTTGACACCTATTCGTATACAATGATAGTTGGTTTACACATTTGACACCTATTCCTATACAATAAAAGTTGGTTTCACATGCTGATATTGTATATGTTTGATGCCACATAAGCACCCCATCAGCTAATACCTGATTAATTGCATGAGTGTATCAAAACTTGCAAAAGCAAACTTTGATTTCTATGTGCCTCTAAACTTCCTGAAATGGGTAGACATTTATTGACATTCTGCTAATGTGATGCCCAATAGCACCTTTGTGTCATAAACACCCTCATTAAATGTGTCTCAGTTTTACAATCATACAAGTACAAAACAACTGACTAAACGTAAATGAAACCAAACACCCTCATTGTCAAGACTCATTTTCGGCTGAGAAGAAATAAGAAAGTAAGAAAAGAAAGGAAGGAAAAAGGAATGGAAGGAGGGAAGAGGAGGATTTAACGTCACCGTGCTGATAATGGCAATGGCAAGGCGGCAACAGATGCAGACCTGATTTCAGATTGATTTTTTCCAACCTCTGCAATCTTCTTATTCTTTCTCTCTGTGCTGGATCTCAGATCTGATTTCATGCCTCAGTTTATCCCCTCTCTGCATGCAAATCACTATCCAGACCAAACGAATCAATGGTTCAACTGCCCGAGTCAACAGTTTTCTGACCAAATCAATGGTTTTTGACCCAAAAATAGGTTAAGGGTGAAATGAAACTGATTGCCTGAATGGTTTCCGGGCCAGGGTCAATGATGGGGACATCTCTTACAGACTGAATGGTGTGGTGTCCAAATGCTGGAATTTAAATAATTTTCACACCACACACACATGCGCACACACACATATATATATATATATTCCCACACTTCCCAGCTAGGAAAAAAACACAACATTAATTGCATTCTTGAAAGAGGTACCTTAGTCCCAAGACAGATGCTTCAAAGGCAGCTTAGAACAGCGCCATAAACATAAATTGACAAATATTCTCTCACATGCAACGCAAAAAATATAAACAGGTCGAGGTATTGTTGGATTTTGTATTCTCAGGGATATCTACCCATCCATCCAATTCCATCCAAACACATGATACAGTATGATGCTACAGAGGAGAAAGAACCGAACTATATCACCAAACGAACAGCACAGCGCACAAAGGTTCAACTAAACATATGAGAAATTTTGCATAACAAAAAATGTCTGAAACAATAATATGTCACATGACACTTGGGGCATTGGGAGGACCTATAAAACCAGAACCTGCTGTTTATTTTGCATTCAACAAATGAACTAGGGGAATACATGTTCATATCTAAACGAGGGGGTTTTTACCGCACAGGCTGTTGGTTGTAGTGACTCTTCTCCTTCTTCTTTGCTGCAGCAAGTTTTGCACTCCTAGCAGCAGCCTCAATGGCAGCAGCTCTGGCAGCAGCATCCATCTCCTTACTTGATTTTTTCTTCTTTATAGATGCCACCTTCTTTAGTCGCTCCTTCACATCAACAGCATTTGCATCCTCCTCTGCCTGTTCAGAACCAGCAGCTTCATCTGGTGTATTGTTAACCTCTGAGCCATTGGGCTGGTCCTGGGATTCTTTTGCTTCCTTTAAAGACTTGTCCTTCTTCTTTTTCTTCTTTGCGCTTTTGCTCTCTCCTGTAGCAGCTTCCTTCTTCTCTGAATCTCCATTAAGCTCCTCTGCCTTTTTATCTTGTGTGGCACCTGAAGTGCAAGCAGGAACTCTTCATGTCAAAAGTTGTCCCCATCACCACTGAAGCAGTATGTATTCAATTTGACCATATAACTATTCACTAGAAATAGCAGGGAGTGAGGTAAACAAGCATGTGGTAGCATGCCAATGCCATTTAGTAATTTGTGCATGCACACGTGTAGAGAGAGAGAGAGAGAGAGAGAGAGAGAGAGAGAGAGAGGAGATGGTCATCCTCACCACCCTCCTACAAAACCATAGATCCAAGAAGTCAAGGTGTTATTTTTTACATTTGGGCCCAAACGTTAACAGTGTCAAGTACTTATTAAGAGCATGGTAATCAATTCAATACTAGAGTCTAGAGAAGACCAACAACAACAAACAAAAACGATCCGCATGTAAGTAGCTCATAAGGCTAAAAAGATTACCTCGTGAATCATCTGGTCCACTTGCCTCCTTTTGCATACCAAGCTCAGCCAATAGGGCATCAAGTTCTTCAAGCCCTTTTTTCTTGAGTTCCTTCTTTGACAACTGTCTTTCCGTCTCCTTGGGTGCAACGGCAGCCGGTGGTGGGTTCTTCACTACAGTCTCAGTTTGCACTGGAACCTCGGGTTCATGATCATGCTCATCATCAACATCATCGTCACCTAAATCAAAGCCATCTTCCTCGCTTTCACTTTCCTGTGCCAGACAGGAAAATACCAGATCAATATAATTCCAAATTACCAGGTTTGCTCACAGTTACGAGGCATTCTTATGCACCACAGTCATAGCACTTATACAAGATCTGACACTTTTATTTAATAGTCTAAGACTAATATTGTATATTGCAATATACAATCATAGCATTTGTTCAGGTGAGTCACAATAAGAGACAACTCCAGTAATATAAATAAGCATTAAAAAAAATTGATTTCAACTACAACAAATTCTTTACAAGTGGACACTAACACCATTTTGATTTAGCCCAACATTACCAAGTGTGCTGACACTTCATAGCTAGGTTATTTTGAACTGCTGACTGTGCAACTAATAATCGATAGAAGATATTGTACTTTTTTTGAAGGTCTAATTTGAATAATGCAATAGCCAATCAATGACTAGACAATTTTTTTAATATATTCAAGCAATCGGATGAATTTACCTACATTTACAAGAATCCATTACATGTGAACACCATTACCATCTTAACCCAAGACCAAAATTACCTGGTGTGCTCAGAGATAAGGGTATTATTAAGGACCTTCTCGATTAGCAGGTAACAACAGATAAGAAATCAGAAGTCCTTTCATAACATTCTATGGCATAATGCAATTCCCGATGATGACATTAATGTAGGTGAGACCATATAGCACCTTTTTCAGTACTCCTAAACATTGAAATGTAATTTACTACATGATCAAGGAATTCATTACACAGTTAACTAGTTATCAATGTTCACCATCCAAATAATGGGCAGTATTGAATGAAACAGGAATTGTTCTTTTGGATGCATGTTCAAGAAAGGTAACAGAATTCATCCCGTTTGGACTTGAATATTTCTAAATATTTGTCTTAGATCCCATTTAGCTATTACTAGTGAACACGGACGGACAAGTGAGTGAGAATCTGACACATGTCCAGGAGCATGAATCAGACAAATGAAAACACATGGACATGTAGAAGTGTCCATAAAATGATAGTTAAACCCAATTCTTGTGAATTCATAAATTATACATACACCACTAGGAAAAAGGGCATAAATATTTTTTAAGAAAAATATGAGAAGTTCTTTTATTACCTAAAGACATTCTACAAGAAAAGATGCATTCAATATGTATATTAGGCATTCATTTCTGCCAAACAAACAAAGGATAAATAAAAACATAATGTATACATAGAGCTGCTCCCTCAAGATCTTGTGATGTGTTAAACCTGACACGTGTGACAAAGATGTCCTCTGTTTAGGAGAATTCATGTAACATGCTGGACCAATTGATGTTCACCAATATTAGTCAGTCACAACTGCTTTGCAAGTGATGAAAGTAAAAGCCTTTGATTCCATTATAGAATCACTATATATTTTATAAATCAGATATATCTAACTTTGAGAAAATAACAAAGCCATACAAAATAGATAATTTCATCCCCACAGGACACCTTTAATGAAATGTTTTAAAAGGTGGGAGGCTTACACCATGACATGTAGCTTAAGGAAAAAGGCTGAGGCTTGAAGCTGGCATGTGATAAGATAATGCACAAATGGTACAAATTCTTCTATCAAGAACATGTTTTTCAGCCATTACCTAAGGTAGAGTATTGTATAAAAACTGAGCTAAAGATCAATTCTAAGTTAGTCACTTGTCTGTTTGTGATTAGTTTAAATGGTTAGGGTTTAAAAACTCAATTTAGGTTTATTTTACATTAAAAAAAAACCTTAAAGTTGCCTTTAAGGATTCAAAGTGTTATTTTTAAAAATCTTACTACCTCATATATTCACTTGTATTATGTTTACTTTATTTTTATATGATAGTATAATCTTTTTACTTACGCTTTTATACTTTCTCTGTTTTTTATTATACTATACTTTTTTTTTGATAGATTTTATAAACCTATTCTTTCTCCTATTCTAGTTTAAGCTTTCACTTAAAAGAACAAGATTTCGTGAGTTTTAAGCCTCTTGAGTAGGAAAATACTGGCGCTTCCCCTCACACATCCATTTTCTGAAGCGTTGATCAAACTGGAGTGTATACTCTATGGCCATGCGAATTTTTGGCACTTGGGGAAGATACACCCAATAAGGAAACACTTAGAATCTCGGATGTCTTATTAATCAGTAAATAAAGAATTTATTAACTTCAGTTGAGGTATTATTACATCAATGTATTACACCAATAGGCAATTTTAGAGTTCTGCCCAAAATAATTGTTGTCTAGCAGTCCCTTGTTTGGCCAATGTATCTGCCATCCCATTTGCTGTTCTCACCCATCTAAACATAACATTCATCTTCCTTGCTAAACTTTCTATTTCCCAAATTGTATGCCTATAGATCCATGGGATTTGGGTACTACTTATTATTGTTATTATACTTGAAATTTAATTCTGAAATTAAGTATTATTTATCAACATGTCAAATTTTACAATGCCAGACAACAGTGGCATATGCCATCCATGACATACAAAAGCAAATGCTTTGCTTGGCATTTAAGCAACAAAATTTTCAAACATTTTAGTTTCTAAATAAGAGGCCACAGCCAAAAAACATATATCATGTTTCTATCAATTGCCATGTGAAACACCTATCATCTTCCAATCATGGTTTTAAATTTTGGAAATATTGGCCCTAGATCACAAATGATTTTTTTAAAATTTTCATAAATTAGTTACTACTTTAGAACATCTTCATTATATAATATTTTATTACATTATACTATTTTAGAACATCATCATTATCTAATTTTCATAAATTAGATACTATTTCAAAATTTTGGTTGAACAGAAAAAATTAATAATTGTTCATCACCTCGTTTATAATCATTATCCCCATGAAGGGAGGACACTTCCAGCTCAACTTTGACAGTCAAATGCAAGGGAAAAATGAGCAATTGACCTGATTGGACACCTCCAGCTTTTGTAATTTAGAAACTTTGGTATTTGGAATATATTTAGATTTTTTTTTCAGCATATCATCTTCAACTTGAATGGGTAGTACAAAGTATAAAAGGTTAAATCACATATTCATTATAAATGAATACCTCCAATGCTCAAACAAAAAGGTCAAGACCGCATCATACTGCAAAGTAACGGCATCAAAGATATAACATTGAGCTCCATCCCACAAGCAAGTCGGGGGTAGAACTCATCAATTATAAACAATTCAAACCATTTCCATCCCAGCAAAGAACTGATCATCGACCATTCTAATCCATTAACAATAAATAAATCTCTTCTGTCGTAGCACAAAAATCTTTTATTTATGCAAGTCCATTACAGCTCTAACAGCAATGCAAAAGCACTATAGGGGTAATGGCTAATCTCCGACATCAAAACGAACATATCCAAACCAGATATTAGCGTCACATTGCCTTAAACAGAAAAAAAAAGTCCGGATGTAAACATTCTGGGATCAACAAGTGACAGTTTCAACATAATATGAATCAAGTATAAAACGTGCACACAAAAAATTCAATTAGAACAGATATGAAATTTAATAAACAGCATTGCCTAGAAATCTATGTCTGCGATGAAACAGAAAGGCGAAACAGTTGATACAACTACACACCTCAACAGGAGTTGAACTCTCCTTGTTTTGTTGTGGTTCTACTGAACCCCAAGTAGCAGGTGGAGCAGTTGTTGCATAATAGTCATCGTCATCATCAACATCAGCCCAAGATTTCCCGGTCAGCGGCGTCGGGGCCCAGAAAACCTGGGGCTCAGGTTCCTTTGCCTCGTTTTTGGAAGATCCCTTGCTCCTTGAAGATCCGTGCTCCTTGTCAGATTTCTTCTTTCTCCTGAGGCTTTCAAGAGCAGCGAAAACGTTGGTACTGTTAATCCCCAAGGACCCATCGTCTCTCCTGCTTCCACCTCCCACCATTTCTAGCGCGATGTCGAAAGAGCCACAGCTGTGTATTCAAGCAGAGTTATCCGAAAGCTAAACGCCGCAGTTCCGATTGCCGGGTCGAAAGTAAGAAAACAAACTATTTAGCCTTGAAAATTAAGTATTCAAAACTAGGGTTACAGACAACGTCTAAACCGGTTAAGACTTTGCTACAGAAGATTAGGGTTTCGAGGGAAAATCAAGATCAATTCTAGTATATCTGGAAACCGACGGTATCTACAGAAAAGAGAAGAAAAGAATTTCCTTGCAAAATTACAATTATTAAAAAAAAAATTATAGATCTCTGTTTTCTAATGAATCAACTCTTCTCAAGGTAACAAGGTCCGATATACTTAAAACGGGAAAAAAGGGCTCGGAAGCCTTTGCAATCTCACCACACTCGGTGTACCAGAGTTGTGATAGAGGAAATTAGGGTTTCGAAAGGAATGAATCAGAAGAAACCCAGAGAAAATTAGGGTTCCTCCGAAACAACGAACCCGATAGAGAGAGAGAGAAAGAGGCAGAAAGAGATAGATGCACAGATTACCTAACTATGTAATAGGGTTTTGAAGGGCTAGGGTTTCCGAACGAAAATGGAGCCCTAAAAGATGGAGTTAGGGTTTGCAAGCGACAGCTTAGAGTTTAGACGAGTTTTTTTCCGTTTCTCAGAGGATTTTCAGGGCCTCCAGATAACGAAGGTGATGAACTCGAGCGCGGTCCTCTTTTATTATAACAAGAACAGATATAACGAAACCCTCTCCATCTCTGTCGCCGAGGGTAATCTCAAGGTGTTCTCAGATTCAACGATCTTATCTTACTTACAATCATCCACATACTTCCATCACTAATCTAACGGTAAACATAGCCTATATAGTGGGTCCCACAGATACTTAGCACCAAACATATCTCCTCTGCTTAATCTGAACCATTCATCAAATTGGGTTCACGAGCTTATTTTATCGGTGATCATCCGGATTTTTGGATATTGATAGTGATCCGGGTATGCTAAAGTGGGCCAGTCAATTTATCGGTCCAAACCCCAAGTACACGTGTTTAAATGCTACCGTAATGGCTGCTGAAATTTGTTATAATCATGACACGTGGCTTCTAAGTATGGATGCGGCCGCCAGGAAGGGTAAGGCATGGAATGCTCACCACCGTCAGATTTATGACAATGCCAAAAATAAAAAGATTTTGTCTTTGTTTTGCTTGCGTTTGATGTGATGGGATATGCCTATGCTCCACACTCACATCGACCTTATAGTGAACACCTCCGTGAATAATAAAATACAAGAACGTAAATGTTCTTATATGCAGTTAGGACATAATGTGAGGTCGGTGTGAAAATCACTCTATGAGGTCGTGTGCCAAATGACCCACATATCCTCATACGATAAGACTCCGGATCTACCCATAACATATTATCTCCATCATCTATTGAGAACATCTCCGATATATAATATTATATAAGAGGATGAGATGTTTCTCACATGTGATTATGATATTATGTGAGTAAATATGGCAGAGTTCTTCTAGGCAAGAGAGGATAACCCAACTCAAACCATAAATCCTTGTCTCCTCCTTGCTTTATTACGAGAAATGTTACCTGCTTACAAAACCCATTAAAAAATGAGGCCCACATAATTTTTTTGGGACCACTATTTAAGCTGAATTGCCCTCTTGCTATTTGCATAGTTTGTTATGTGATTTTGGATCTTCTTATCATCATCACCATCATTGTACGGGTCTTCATGGTTTGGTTAAATGAACTACAAGGCTTTTTAGAAATCGAATCAGTCTTACTGGTTTTTTCATATCTTCAAACCAACACCATCTGTTAATCGGTTATTCGGTTCTTCTGTTTTTTATTTTTATAACATATATTATAAATTAATATATATATATATATAATATAATATTATATTATAAATACTACAAATGTATATAAAATATATAATATATTTATAATATATGTATATTTATATAATATACATATAAATACATATATCGGTTGATTCGATTAACTACCGGTTTTTCTAAGTTAATCGCATTTTCTGTTAAATTTGCTTTGTTCATTTCAGTTTCTCATTTTTTTTATGAACACTCCTAATTATCAAATCCTTATAGAGTTCAGCAATTATGTAGGATCCGCTACATGAATCATGTTTTGCCATTTTGTTCCTTTTGGGATGGCTTGTACACAGCTTAGGTTAGACCCCACGAGGGGAGTCTTGAAATTATGTTTGGTGAAAATTTTGGAAAAGCAAAAAACACTTGCATCGATCATTGACTTTTTTGGGTGAAGTTAGTTTTGGTAGCTTCTTCCATACTTTGTTTGGTAAATATGAAGCTACTTTGACTAGCTTCTTGGGAACACTTAGGGCTGTAAGTCGGGCCAGGTTAGGTCGAGTTGAAGCCAACCCTATCCTAACCCTAACCCTAACCCAACCCTATCCCTAACCCTAACTAAATTCCTTCAACCCTAACCCAACCCAACCCAACCCAACCCAAAGTCAATTTCGGGTTGGGTTGGGTCGGGTTTCATTAGTATTTGTTTTAGATCTTAACTCAACTTTCATTGCATATATTAATCCTATGTTTCATTAGCATTTGTTTGTTGACGTTTTTATAATTTATTATGAGTTATGGTTTACGATAGATCTTTCTTGGGTGGCAAACAATATAGAGGAGATGAAGAATAAAGTAAAAAAAAAAAACATAAACTAATATTATTAAGGTTTTAGTCTTTTTGATTATGATTAAGTGAAATGGTTATCTTAAAAGAAACACATGATACTATGTGGTGGGGGCTATACAAATAACGTGCATCTAAACAAATCAATGTGTGTTATATATTACATATAACATATATTTATATATTACATGTACTATAGAGTTGGGTTGGCTAAGGGGTAACCCTAACCCAACCCGAAGTAAAATCGGGTTCACGAATTTCAACCCTAACCCTAACCCGAATATCAACCCGACCCAACCCAATCCAACTTTTTCGGGTTGGGTTAGGGTTGGGTTCGGGCCAACCCGACCCAAGTAGTAGCCTTAGGAACACTAGTGCTCAACAACCCTGACTCAATTAACACAACACACCCAAAACATAGAAACCCTCCCAAATGGGCTCACAATGTAGCTCAATTGATGTTGCACTTGTAGAAGCTCTCCCAAATGGGCTCTTAGTATCATCCATTTCCAAATTATGACTTTATGAGCTCATAAATCATTTCTTCCTATATTAGGCCATGTCCTGTTTCGTCTACCCCTAACCCTTCTTAGCTTGGACCTACTCGTTGAAAGCTATTCCAACATTCTTAGCCACAAGACATTACAATTGCACGTTAGAAATATCTCCCTTGTCATTAATGAGAGATGTTTCCAATACACATTGGTGTTTTGTGGGTAGTTGACGAGGGATAATTTGGTCATCTAAATCACATCGTGACATGTGGCTTTCAAGTGACACCTCGACGTTGAGTAAGCGGATCACCTCGGCAAGTCGGCCTGTAGCACTTCGCCCAGGCCGACCTCAAATACCTTGGCCAGTTTCGGGCTGATAGGTCTTCCAGCAAATAGCAACCTATTCCAATGACCGGTTGAGCTACGAAGAGTTCCTCTGGCGACCTACGGGACAAGTCTGTTGACTTGTCTCATAGATCCGTTGCAAAGTCCGAGATTTCTAGAGTAATAATGAGTTGACCATTAGACCGACCTACCGCATCACACGCATCAAAGTTAATCGGACGAATCACAGTCCCTACGCAGATTATGTAGCTGACGTAATTATTCTCCTGAGCAAACGGAAACGGCTTCGCAAGAACCCAATACCCATTGCAAGAGGACTCAAGTCACTCATATCTATATAAAGCCATCATTTTCACTTGAGAAGGTACGTGCGATTAAGTTCTCAATTTCTCTTATCTCTTAAGAACTCTCAATACAATTTGTTGACTTAAGCTAAAAGTCTGTTTGGTAAGAAGGTAAATTTGTCGATGCAAAACTAACCCAACTTTACAATTTATATGAACCATTTTATACTCTACGAATTTGCATTCACACTTATTTTCATCGTTTCCAAACACAGCCTTGGGGGTTCTCCATTTCACTAATAAACTTTTGGTCAAATTTAGGGTTTTTCCATATCGTTATTTGAGTGTATATATTTCATTAACATGTCTTTATGTCATTCAACAATAACATGACTACATGAGCGGGAGAACAAAACGATATTAGAAGATACTTTGTTATCTTATTTAATCCACAAAATAGTTATCACTTTTTTAAAGATACAGTAAGAGCTTTGAAATCATGATACAAATTCAAAAGACTAGTCCACTACTCTCTTATGGAGAGGTTCTCGTCTAAAGGCCTATGAATTAATTGGTCATATCATCTAAATCTATTTAGAAAATGAAAACTTTATAAAATGCGATCGATTCTTCCAACTCACCACAAAAAGAACAATCCAGGCCAATATTTCAAGAAGAAAGAACATGAAGTGCGTGATCAACAATTTGTCTATGGTTAGGGGGTGCCTATATTGAAAAAACAAAAGGTTTATGCTTGAAAGGGTGTTTTGATATTGATGTAGGCGCGCATGGTCTTGTCCTATCGTTGGTCTACATGTGTCAGGCAGCGCTGTTCAGAGTAGACCCAATCAGGGTGTACACGAAATAGAGCTCAGTGGGTTTTGCGGAGTCAATAGCACGGAGTCACCTGGCGGCCTCGGAGGGCCGCGCTCTCCGCATACGGACCACATCCAGACCGTCCTAGCTCACCTACCTCCAGGTGGTCTCAAGTATAAATAGGAGGTTACTCCCCCCATTGTAAGTGATAAAAAACTTAAGCTTTCTAGATAGCACTTGAGATCTCTTGTGGCCTTATCTGGGTGCCTACCTCTTTGACCTTGTCCACCTCATACCTCTCCTAATATTAACTTAACCGTCGGAGCCCCTGCCTCGGGTTCTCACCCGGGGCTTCTGACGTTCTCTTCTTCGTAGGATCGACCTACTAGTCCTCGTCCACCTCGAACCTCAGACACCTTGACTTAGGAGAAAATTGATAGTATTATCCTCGGCCATCCCGAGCATCAACAAAAATTATTCTTCTTTGCTTTTAAATTAAGACACTTTACAAAATAAGTGATAAAGTTTACTAAATTGACAAAATCGATTATTTTTTCAAAATAATGCCAAATCAAGTGAGCAGGACAAAAACTAATTTATATTGGACAAAAGTGTCCCTCTCAAAAATCCTTCCCCAATTCTCTCAAAAGCCCACCTGCAATCTGCAACGGTGCAACTCCCTACCTCAAAGGCCCTCCAGCAGTCAGAACGGCATGGTGTCAGTTGTCTAGAATCCATTGGTCACTGGATAGTATGTCACTGATGTCTTCTTTCTCTGCCCCCGGTGATTTCAGCATTGGTAGCCACTTCTCGACACCATTGCCTAGGGGTGAGCATTATTCGGTTAAAATTAAAATATTGAACTGAAAATTTCGGTTTTGATTTCTTTGGTTTAATTCTTTTGGTAATTCTATTTGGTTAATTCAGTTTTTGGTTTCGGTTTTTAAAGTTAGAAATTTGGTTAATCGAAAAGACCAAATTAACTGAAATTTATTATATAATATGTAATATATAATATACAATATATAACATTTAATATAAAATATGCTATATATTTATATATTAATATATTATATGTAATGTATTATA